GGGAACCAAATAATGCCAGGTGCTAACCGGCATATGCCAATTTTGAAAAATGGTATATGCCATTTGGGAACCAACTAATGCCAGGTGGCAACCGGCATATGCCAATTTTGAAAAATGGTATATGCCATTTGGGAACAAACTAATGCCAGGTGGCAACCGGCATATGCCAATTTTGAAAAATGGTACATGCCATTTGGGAACCAACTAATGCCAGGTGGCAACCGGCATATGCCAATTTTGAAAAATGGTACATGCCATTTGGGAACCAACTAATGCCAGGTGGCAACCGGCATATGCCAGTTCTGAAAAATGGTATATGCTATTAGGGAACCAACTAATGCCAGGTGGCAACCGGCATATGCCAATTTTGAAAAATGGTACATGCCATTTGGGAACCAACTAATGCCAGGTGGCAACCGGCATATGCCAATTTTGAAAAATGGTATATGCCATTTGGGAACCAACTAATGCCAGGTGGCAACCGGCATATGCCAATTTTGAAAAATGGTACATGCCATTTGGGAACCAACTAATGCCAGGTGGCAACCGGCATATGCCAATTTTAAAAAATGGTATATGCCATTTGGGAACCAACTAATGCCAGGTGGCAACCGGCATATGCCAATTTTGAAAAATGGTACATGCCATTTGGGAACCAACTAATGCCAAGTGGCAACCGGCATATGCCAATTTTGAAAAATGGTATATGCCATTTGGGAACCAACTAATGCCAGGTGGTAACCGGCATATGCCAGTTTTGAAAAATGGTATATGCTATTTGGGAACCAAATCATGCCAGGTGGCAACCAGCATATGCCAGTTTTGAAAAATAGTATATGCCATTTGGGAACCAAATAATGCCAGGTGCTAACCGGCATATGCCAATTTTGAAAAATGGTATATGCCATTTGGGAACCAACTAATGCCAGGTGGCAACCGGCATATGCCAATTTTGAAAAATGGTATATGCCATTTGGGAACAAACTAATGCCAGGTGGCAACCGGCATATGCCAATTTTGAAAAATGGTACATGCCATTTGGGAACCAACTAATGCCAGGTGGCAACCGGCATATGCCAATTTTGAAAAATGGTACATGCCATTTGGGAACCAACTAATGCCAGGTGGCAACCGGCATATGCCAATTTTGAAAAATGGTATATGCCATTTGGGAACCAAATAATGCCAGGTGGCAACCGGCATATGCCAATTTTGAAAAATGGTATATGCCATTTGGGAACCAACTAATGCCAGGTGGCTAACCAGCATATGCCAGTTCTGAAAAATGGTATATGCTATTTGGGAACCCACTAATGCCAGGTGGCAACCGGCATATGCCAATTTTGAAAAATGGTATATGCCATTTGGGAACCAACTAATGCCAGGTGGCAACCAGCATATGTCAATTTTGAAAAATGGTATATGCCATTTAGGAACCAACTAATGCCAGGTGGCAACCGGCATATGCCAATTTTGAAAAATGGTACATGCCATTTGGGAACCAACTAATGCCAGGTGGCAACCGGCATATGCCAATTTTAAAAAATGGTATATGCTATTTGGGAACCAACTAAAGCCAGGTGGCAACCGGCATATGCCAATTTTAAAAAATGGTACATGCCATTTGGGAACCAACTAATGCCAGGTGGCTAACCAGCATATGCCAGTTCTGAAAAATGGTATATGCTATTTGGGAACCAACTAATGCCAGGTGGCAACCGGCATATGCCAATTTTGAAAAATGGTACATGCCATTTGGGAACCAACTAAAGCCAGGTGGCAACCGGCATATGCCAATTTTAAAAAATGGTACATGCCATTTGGGAACCAACTAATGCCAGGTGGCAACCGGCATATGCCAATTTTAAAAAATGGTACATGCCATTTGGGAACCAACTAATGCCAGGTGGCAACCGGCATATGCCAATTTTGCAAAATGGTACATGCCATTTGGGAACCAACTAATGCCAGGTGGCAACCGGCATATGCCAATTTTGCAAAATGGTACATGCCATTTGGGAACCAACTAATGCCAGGTGGCAACCGTCATATGCCAATTTTGAAAAATGGTACATGCCATTTGGGAACCAACTAATGCCAGGTGGCAACCGGCATATGCCAATTTTGCAAAATGGTACATGCCATTTGGGAACCAACTAATGCCAGGTGGCAACCGGCATATGCCAATTTTGCAAAATGGTACATGCCATTAGGGAACCAACTAATGCCAGGTGGCAACCGGCATATGCCAATTTTGAAAAATGGTACATGCCATTTGGGAACCAACTAATGCCAGGTGGCAACCGTCATATGCCAATTTTGAAAAATGGTACATGCCATTTGGGAACCAACTAATGCCAGGTGGCAACCGGCATATGCCAATTTTGAACAATGGTATATGCAGCGGCGTAGGAAGCGGGGGGGACGGGGAGGACATGTCCCCCGAATATAAAAGCCAGGTGGAAATGTCCCCCCCAAAAAATTGTACCGCAAAATATTAGATTTTGACATTTTTTTAACTAGCGTGCTTTTATTTTGAAGTCGCAGCATAGCGTTACGTCACTGTACTCCCCCTCCCCTCTCTGAACTGCTGAGCGTGAGCACTCAGAAGGGAGGGAAACAGCGACACAGAAGTCAGAAACTTGTGAATGAGGTAAAATGGTCTGTCGGGATGCTGCTATGATTATTGCCTATTTATAACCTCTTGTTGTCAGTTCACTTTCATATATAGAAACTGAATCTTAGTCCTGTACGGAAGAGGATTAGGGCCACTGGAAAAAAAGAAGTTAACTGATTTTGAATTTTTTTTTAATTTAACATGGGGAAAAAGTCAGAATTCTGAGATTAAAGTCAGAATTCTGAGAAAAAAAGTCAGAATTCTGAGATTAAAGTCAGATTTCTGAGATTAAAGTCAGAATTCTGACTTTTTTCTCAGAATTCTGACAGCTAACAAACATGTTAGCATCAAGCCATAGCCATGTCTGTTTTAGAGACTAGCTCTCTTGTTTTAATGACCTTCTGCTCCTCCATTAATGAGGGGACCCCTCGGGCACGTAAAAAGTTGCCTAATTGCATCATTTTCCACCAATGTGTCACTGGTCCTCTCAAACAACTCACATCTTTGTCAGTGAAGCTGAGAGCTCCACATCTCTTCCTTCATGGTGCCTATCTACATTAAGATCCAAAATTCTGAGATTAAAGTCAGAATTCTGACTTTTTTCTCAGAATTCGGACTTTTTCCCCGTATTAAACTGAAATAAAATTTTAAAATCACTTAACCTTTTTTTTTCAGTGGCCCTAATCCTCTTCCGTAGTGTTGGGCTGATCACTCATCCAATATTTAACTGCTAACTTTCTCTAGACGTTTGCTACGCTAGCCAAAATTTTTTTTTTTTATATATCTCATTTCAGTACAATGCCACCACCAGCTAAAAGGCTGAAACAGCAGCAGGACTTACTCAGCTTTTTTAAAAAGAGAAACGTCAGTGTGAGTAACAGTCACACAACACAAGGGCAACACAGGTGTTGAAATTAGCCCGGTCTGGGCGTGCGTTTTATGAGGATTTTTTATTTTTTGCGTGGTTTTGCTTTGCCGAAATGGACAAATGTTATACCTGCCTCGCTCCTGATCGTTAGTTAAAACCAAAGGGAGAGTTAATTTTAATTCTTAGCAGCGGCGGCCGCATTGGTCGTGCAGTGGACTGCTGCACAACCACTAATTAACCAACTAATTAACTTCTACATCTTTATTTCCTCAGATAAACTGTTGGCTCCTCTTTTTACACTATAAACAGATTAACACAACATTGACAACTCTGTAGTTTTCTCTGTTCTGTACTGCAAACTGGAATTAAAGGCGCCATTTCTACCAAAGGTCTGGACAGACTGGCCACCTGTCTAGGGTGGACCCCGCACCAGCACCTCCCGACCCCACTAAGGGACAGGGTGTACAGAAAATGGAAGGAGGGATGGATTTCTACCAAAGGTTGATAATGCGTTTTTGAACCAGATGCTTCAAAGCGCCCTGTCCATAATTCTTCAACACACTGTCATCTCCCTCTGTCAGTCAACCTATATAAATTCATTTTTGACCATTATTGCAAGTTTGACAAAATAAAACATATCAAACTTTGCACTTGTGTGGCCTACTGAATTGTTTTGATTTTCTAGTGCGTATGCGGACACTAAATATGCAAGGGCTGAAGCCCTTGAAAGACATCTCCCTTTGCTTAATAAAAGACTCCAGTCATTTTGTTTGGTGATATGCTCACATCTTATGAACAAATGCATTATGTAAATTTTAAATGCATTATTTTTGCAAGACACATTTATAAAGGAATAAAGTAAAAGATTAAATAGCCTTTTTTTAAAGTAGCGTACTTAAGATATGTTTCTGTTGAATATTTACGAATCTCAGATTTCCGATATGTCCCCCCCACAATTGTAAACATATTCCTACGCCCTTGGGTATATGCCATTCGGGAACCAACTAATGCCAGGTGGCAACCGGCATATGCCAGTTTTGAAAAATTCATCATTAATCAGATTACAAAATAGAGAATCTCCGATCCGATCGATCCGATCCGTGGGCTTAGCGAATTGCCTGATATCCGACACTATTGTTGGATAAATTAACTGAATACCTCACCATGTGAACAAAGGCATGATGATGGCATAAATATCGAAAAATGAACACAAATATAAATCATTGCAGCTCTACGCGATGACATCATAAAACTGTGATGCTGCTTGATTTCGATAAAAATAGAACTGACTGGATCGACATCAATCATCCGATATCCGATGCAGCTAGTTAGCCGATATCGTAGCCGATATCCGATCTAAGTTTCAGATCAGTGCATTTTTCTATAAAAAGAAAAGGAACTGAGCATCGATCACTGATGTGTGAACCTAAATCTTTTAGTTCCAACAGTTTAAAGGAAGCTGATAAATCGGACGAATGAAGCTGCTTTAAAGCCCTCGTTGGGCTGAAACCTCGCCCGCAACCAGCTCCTTGTTTTTGCTGGGAATGCTCGTCCAGTCATCCGGAGGCCTGAGTCACAGCTTCTTGGTTGAGTGGGATCTGCTCCACCTCCTCCTCCTCCTTTTGAAAGGCCAGATGCAGTGCAGCCAAAAATCTCAGCAACCTGTCTCAACAGTTTCCAGTTAATCCATTCAGGAGCTACGTGTGCAACTGTGCATGCTCCTGTTTGGATCCTGTTTTTCTGATTTCACCATCAAACTGAGGACCGTTTTCTGCAGGGCCTCCCTTCCTTTGTTAACGGTTTAGTTTAGGACAGAATATTGAAGTGAATTTGGGTTCAGGTAAAAGTTGCACTAGTAATAGTTGGGTTAAAGCATTCGTCTCCTTTAAAGAGCCCCTAATATCTGCAGCCTCTCTGGATGATAATCAGGGGAGAACCCTGCATTGGGCCTCCTCAGAGTAACCTAGTCTGCTTGGTAAAATGTCGCAAGTCGGGTAAATCCAACACGTTGCATCATCTTGCCCCGATACCGTGTAGTGTGCGGTGTCCACCACCCTAAGCTCTTTCAAATCAGATGCTGGAGTTTGGATTAGCTGGGAGACGCTGCACCCAAGGTGTCACCTTTCCTCCTCCATAAAACTACAGAAAATGACAGTGAATCACTTTCCTTTAAGTGTAAAAGTATAAAACGTTCTCCTGGCTTCTCTGTTTGCTCCATTAAAATATAAATATATAAAACTGTTTATAATTGGTACTTACATTAACTTAAATGATCAAAACTTTAAAAACAAGGTGCAAACCCAAGTAAAGCTCAGGGTTTTATGGCGGAAGCAATTAATCAGATTAATCAATTATCGAGTCTAAAACAAATATGAGACTGTAAAAGACTGTAAAACCTGCATTTAGCTGACAGAGCGACTCACTTAGAGCAGGATTTATACCAAGATTGTACAAAAAAACATAACATTGTGGATTTAACAGATAAAAAAATATTTTCATCTCTCAATCTGCATTATCAAGAACTCCTTAAGTGGAAATCTTAGTTTCATCTGGTTTAATTTCAAAGAAAAAAATACTTTAAGGAACCTTTGACTATCTGATTATAAATCGATTAATCTAAAAAATAATAAACAGACTAATCGACATGCAAAATAATCAATACTTGCAGCCCTTGTTTTAACCGGGATAATATTGGCATGTTTTTTATTTTTCGTGGTGACATAAGTTTTGTTAAAAAAAATGTTTTTCTCTTTTTGAACAGAAAAAAAAATTACCGTAGACAATAAAAAAAATTTTGGAAAATGAAAAGTTTTAAACCTGAAAAAACTGCTAAATTTCAATATTTTTGGATTGAAAGAAAAATATGTGAAAAATAATTAACGATTTCAATGCAACATTTAAAACAATTACAATAGCTGACAGTCATTTAATTTAAACCCCGCCCCCACGTTGAGGAACTATCTTAAAAAATAAAGTAATTGTGAACATTTCTTTTCCTTTTTTTGTTGTTAAAATAAAAAGCCTTTGAAAAATATTCATGGCCCATATTTAGCTCCATAGGTTGATGCATGCATGTTTTCACAGATTGAGCTCAGCAGCTGCTCCCTCTGTTTGCTGAACATTAACATTCGATTTAGTAAAAGTTTGCTTTTAGCTTAAATTGAGAATTGGTGACATTTATTATCAAAGTTTTAGTTTTATTATATGAATGGAAGAAAAAAACAATATCGGCCCAAAGAATACAGAATACATATCGGGGATCGGTTAGACCGATTTGAAAATAATCGCTATCGGCACTTCTACAAAATTTCAGCATGAAAGTCTTTGTCCTTTTTTCCTGCACTTCAAGCCTCCATTTTGGCGAGGAGGGAGGTTTCCTAATCCATTCATTGTTAAATTACGGCACCAAATGCTTAAATGCGACTCATTGAAGATGTTCTAAACTGATGATACTTTATTATTGTAGAGTTGTTTTAATAAACAACCAGGCAGGTATCCACGATATATTGGCTTTAATATCGATATCGGCCAATGTTGGTCATTTTTAAGCATATTATTAGTTTGATAAGAGAAAATGGGCCAATATTGACAACTGATGGTGAAGATTCTCAGTCATTCAGGTCATAGTCATTCCAAAAAAGTTTAAAATCAATCCACTGGACTTTGTTTCTAAGTTTGAAGACGTTCAATTCAACATTTCAGAAATAGTGTTGAGTTTGAAGCTTTATATAATGGCCCTAAAAACGTGTTTCGCCTTAGAAAACCCGTTTTTGGGCCGTCTTTAAGACAGTTCTTACCCGACAGCAATAACAAAACTAAATTAATCATCATGGATGATTTGTGTGAGAATGTGCTATTCTTATTTATTTGCTATTTATTTCTAATATAGTGTGTAATTGTGGGACAGTGATTTTATTTTATTTTTTTAAGCATATTGACTGATAGCACTTTTTAAAATTTCGTTGTTCTTTTGACAATGACAAAGAAAGATTAAAAAAACATGCAAATTGAACCAGAAAAACAGGTCCGCCCCTTTGGAATGGGGGTTATTTTGGGTTTCTTAGCCTGCAATGCCCCATACCTGTCTATGTCTCTGAAAGGGGGGTCGTTAAAGGGAATTGTTGGCCTGGCTGAATAGGTGAGGTCTTCTGTTCTCCTGTATGGGGTGGGGGCTGCGATGATAGCGGGAAGGAATCAACTCTATCGCTGCATTGGAGGTTTTTGAAAACTAACCACCCCCCCACACCGTTTAAGGTTGCTTTCTTAACTAGGGGTGGAACGGTTCACAAAATCCACGGTTCGGTTCACGGTTTCTGGTCACGTTTTTCGGTTCGGTTCGATACATGTTGATTGTTACCCCGAAATCCCATAAAATTGAATGCAATTAATGAAAAAATCCCCAAAAATGAATGAATTGTAATTATTTTTAATGATCCACGTAAATCCTGGATCATTTCCGCATGTTTTGCTGCTTTGAATTTAATCATCTGGTGCATGCTCTCTACCATCTCCAAGGAACTCAGAGCGGAGCGGACGGGAGCCACAGTGGAGGCTGTAGGCTTTGCTTTGAGCAGCCGGTCTGGAGCGCAGCGGGGCGGAGCGCTGATGCAGTATGAGGGATTTCAGGGTTAGCATGACATGTTGGTCGTGTTGCTGTTAGCATAAACAAAACGTGTTGCACAATGCTTCCACACTGTTGCACTTTTATCCACAGCTTTCTTTCCGCCGCCATCGTAGGTCACTCTAAATGCAAAGTGCTCCCATACAGCAGACCTATAAAGTGCTGCTGGCGCGTCTTCCAACTCCTGTTCTTTCCCACTCGCCATAACCACACAATTCTCCACAACAACTGATTTTTTTCTGCTACACCCGGCTACGCTGCTTCGCTTCTTCTTCTTCTTGTTTACTACTGGTGGTTGGCTTTGGTCGCAGTACCGCCCCCTTCTGCTCTGGAGTGTAAACGCTTCGCCTATGAGAGAAAGGAGCAGCGCATGAACCGAACGCAACACACGCGAACCGAACCGAGACAGTCGAACCGAACAGTTTTCAAACCGTTCCATCCCTATTCTTAACATCAATGCAGTATCTGGTATTGCGGGCTGTTAGGTTAGTTCTTTATTAGTCATGTGTATTACCCATCTGTTAGCCAGATTAGATGGGGAGGACAGCCTTCCTTCACATGGTGCATCACATTGTGTGTGCAGAGGCTACCTCATGAGGACAGACTTATTGTCTGTACAATAAGCGCAGGATGACGATACATCCTGGAGCCAGACTGATAAAGAAGAGCTATCTGTAATCCTGAGGTATTGACTATGGGTATTGCTGGTCGGATCGGGTATGCTCATTGACAGAACGCCGGTTTTTGTATTTGAAAGGACGCACACCATGGGAGACTCTTGATGATGCCCCATCATATGACCTTTTTTCAAGGTCATATGATGGGGCATCACCACCATAAGTTACTCCCATGGTGTGCGACTGTGCGTCCTTTCAAATACAAAGAAACGGATCACTGCTCGACACTCAACTGGCTCCATTCCTGACTTCATCAGTTCAAACACCTGTAAATCAGAAACCTCAATTAGCTCAGAGCTGTAATTTGCCACTTAATCTATGGAGATATAAATAAAAACACACAGATATTTTCAACTAGATCAAACAACTGGAAGTGGGTCATGAGCATTACAACCCTTGTATGACTAAAACGTTGCAAATAAATGCGTTCAGTGTGCAGGAGTCCCCTTTAAATGGTATTTAATACTTCCCTGGAGGTCTTTAATGGATTAGACTCTGAAATATTTGCATTTTATTTAGCAGAACAGCTAAAGCCAAGTTAGGCTGGATGGAGAGAAGCTCTGGTTGTGGAGATCACTGAGGTCTGGAGCTGCAGGTCGGATTTCAAAGAAACGTAGAAATTATATCAGGAAGCGTATCAGGAAGTCTGCAGCCGAAATATGTCATCCTTCCTCTTTTAAAGCAGAATATAAAGAACTTTGGCGTCAGACTGGAATAGCAAAACTTTTGATTCAAATCAGTGATAATGAAGCATCTTCTCAGTAAAACTGATATGTTTTATAATATTTACAGGGTGAGGCGGTTCGCAGAGCAAAAACTGATGATTGATCCTTAGAAAAAGGAAAAAAAAAACCTGAGTTTGAAGTTTGTTTTCTAAAGGAGGGCCACAGTGCTGCTCTTCTGAGAGAACAGGGGAGGAAACGCTCCCAGGAACGGCGGCTGCATTGCAACACTCGAACGATTCCAGTCTGCTCTCTCTGCAGAACAAAAACAATCTTTCTGGTCCAACTGGTTGATGTGCCAGTTACCAAAAACAAGCTTTGATTCGAAGGGATTAGCACCAGAAATCAGAAGATGTTTTTAACCAGTTAGGTTCCTTTTTTCACTAAGTAACAGCGTCTCTGTTTCATGTCAACTTTCCCCCCAAAATAACTAAACAAGAAACACAGAAAGCAGCTCTGCTGAAGCATCACATCATTCTGACTCCAACAGTAACTCTGTTTAACATCGATCCGACCACAAAGCTAACGCTCTCATTGCCACTGCATGACTTCACCCACCTATAAAAAAAAAACAACACTTCGCACTGTAGTCTTACGTCTTTGATTTGCAACTTCTTGACATCCTG